GTAGGAAAAAAGCACGTACCTGCCTCCCAGCACACGCGGAACTCGTGCGGGCGCCCCTGCAGACGGAGCTGCAATGGTCAATGGCCATGCTCCGGCCTCGAAGAAGTCCAAACTGGCCGGCTGAGCGTGGCCCATATGGAATCCAAAATGCACACCATGTGCACGACACTTTTATATGCAGCGACTCCTGTCTGCATAGTGGTGTCCATAAGAAGCGGCAGCACAATCCAATAAGCCAGCGGAGGCGTCGTCGGATGCGGTCAAATGCCCATGCGAGGCTTATTGCGCATCAGCAAATGAATGCGTCGGCGCCTGTGTGGCGGCCTGTACATGGCTGGCGGCGCCTGGCGCATAGAAAAGCGCGACCTCTGAGCGCAATTATCAAATCTGATAGCAATTTCGACATAAATCTGTAAAAAGAAATATTTATAATTAGTTATATGTTAAGAAATTAATTTTTGCAAAAATGCGACTTACCTCTGTTAAAAAGTTTTCGATTTCCACGTTGCGACGGAAAAAAAAAAATGTATATGCAGAGCACATGTAGTCAAATCTAACTGTATATTGCGTAGCGTTGCCACCTATGCAGTGTTGCCACACTGACAGTTTTAAGTTGTTAAAGCAATTTAGTATTATTAGGGAATTAGTACTTTTAGTCTTTTAGTATTTTAGTATAAGTATTTATTGTATTTAGTACGTAAGTTCAATACAGACACATTCTATGTGTCTAACAACATGTTTATAGAGTTAGGATACAATGTTGCCAAATAATGTTCTTATATGTTGCTAAAGTGAAAGTAATGGAAAAGAATAAAACAAGTCACGGAGGAATTTCATTCCACTGCTGACATATATTGTGCTCGGATGCACTCAACTAAAAAAACTTAAAAACTTAAAAACTTAAAAAAATCAACTTAAAAAACTTAAAAAACCTAAATAAAAAAAACCGAAAGGCTTGATTGCGCTCGGACGCACTCATCTATTTAAAACAAAAAAAAAAAAATAAATAAAATAAAATAAAATAAATAAATAAAAAGTCAATTAAACCAAAACCAAACCAAAAAGAAATTAAAATCAAATAAAGACATTGCGCTCGTACAGTGCAAGTGCAATTTATGTGGCACACAAACACACATACTCGGCATATAAAATATATATTGTGCGCATATAAAATGGAAATGCGCTATCGAATCAACTAGTAAATATGGAACACAATGCAAATAAAAGTGGAAAGCCCTCTGAGGAGTGGCTAAATAGAGATCCTGGGATTGTGCAGGTGCAATCTGAGGATATAAATCGTGTGCATAATGAGGCCAAACGTCTTGGTTATGTGCCGGCAAATATGGCAGCCGCTGGCGTCACTAATACAAGTGCAGGTGAAAATGTGAAGCGCACAACAGAGAGAAGTGAAATACAGGGTGATATTTCTGATGAGACTATCTTAACTTGCGAAAGTGCTACCTCAGCATTCTCTGAGACGGCGCTTTCTCATATGTTCTGTGATAGCGATGAGGACACTAACTGGACAAATGCTATAGTTGGAATTGAGAGAAGAGCGGTGGGAGCAGCAACAACAACTACAGGATCTACTTGCCAGCAAGTGCAACAACAGCAACAGACGCCAATTCTCGCGGCAGAAGTGCCGCTAAATGATCCGCCATTTCTGCCTGAGTCAACAGGGGCAGCAACTACAACAAGTACAAGAACAACCACTAGCGCAAATGTCATAGCTAACCTAGAAGGCAATGTTCCGCCATCTTTGCAAATGTCAACGCCTACGCTGACAATAGCAACCAATACCAACACAGGTGACGCGCAAAAATTGGCGCCAACGCTAAGTGAATGTGCAACAGGAACAACAAGTGGTCGCTTGCGTGATGCTGCTAAGGTGACAATGGCGGCAAAAATAAATGGCGCTAAGTGTAGAGTGACTATGCCAATGAAGCAGCAGCGTAAAGTAATGCGCGCTGCTAGCTCTCTTGGCCCTAATAATTTGCAAAATGCAATGCAATCTAACTTGCAGCCTATTGTTAGATTATACAATATTGCAAGACCAAAAAATAATTTAGCCAAAAATGCCATGCCCGGTGGGGAGGAAGGCAACATGAACATGGACATTGATGCCAACACCAGTAGTGATGGATATTCGGAGGTAATTATTTCGGATGATGAAGCAACAGAGCAGCAAATAGGCGGCAAGCAGGTAGCTAGTGAAGTTCAGGAAGCGCAACCGCAGTTAGGTCAAAGTATTAAAATTCCAACACTTTTTGTGCCCAATGTAAAAGAAATTCAGCCACTAATGGAGAAATTAAATAACGCACAGGGCGTCAATAAATTTACAACAAAATGTACCCAGGGTGATGGGATTAGAGTACAATGTAAAGATTTCAGCACATATAACGCCATATTGGGCTTATTAAATACAGAAAATATACCTATGCACACACACCAGCCGAGAAGTGAGCGTGGCTACAGGGTTATATTAAAACATTTGCACAGTTCGACTCCATGCGACTGGTTGCGTACCCAATTGGGAGAATTGGGTTATGTTGTCAGATACGTTAACGTCATGAAGCATCGATTTAGTGGCAAGCCATTGAACATATTTGAAATAGAGATTGAGCCAAGAGTGGATGGTGGTCATACAAAAATATGTAAATTAAACGAATTAGGTAATCAGCATGTCGCTGTGGAAAGACAACATAAAAGTGCTGACCCAGTACAGTGTCATAGGTGTCAGGCATTTGGTCACAGCAAAAACTATTGCCGTCGGCCATTTGTCTGCCTTAAATGTGCCGGTGAGCACCCAACAACAATGTGTGCCAAGGATAGGGACACAATTGCTAAATGCGCCAACTGTGGAGAGGGGCACATTGCCAGTTACAAAGGATGCGCTGTATTCAAACATGCGCAAAGTTTAATAAACATAAATCGTATTCGTGGCCGGCAACAAAAAAAGCAGCAACAGCAGCAGCAACGAAATACAGTCAATATGCTCGTACAGCAACAGCAGCAACAGCAACAACAACAACGGCAACAAGTAGTAAATCAGCAACAACAGCAATGCAACGATGATAACATACAGCGACAACGAAACGTACAACAGCAACGGCTGCCGAACAATATGCAAGTCAACGGTACGGTGCAACAAAAGCCTCCAAAGCAGCAGCAACGTCAGCCGGAGTCTCCAATACGGCAGCAGGCGTCTCAGCAGATATCAAACCCGAATACAAATCCAAACACAAAAAGTAGGACATACAGCCAAGTAGCCCGTGGTGTTGGTGGTGTTAAAATCCGTAATCCTGCATCAAGGCATCTTGAAAAGCTACAGGAGCAGCTTCGTACGGAGCAGCAGCAAAAACGGCAGCAACAACAACATCCGTGGCAGCAACAGGAACACTATCGCCAAATCCAGCAGCGCCATCAAGAGCAGCGCCATCCTCAGCAGCAGCAGCGCAACCAAAACCAGCAGCAGCGTATCCAAAACCAACAGCAGCGCTTCCCAAGTCAACAAACCCAACAACAACAACAACAGCCCACGCGAATTGTACAGGTGCCAACACACAACGAGCAATCACAACAACAGCAGCAACACCAAACTCCGCAGATTGATTGTCCGCTTATGAGAGCGTTGGAGCGGAACGCCAATATCGTCGAGGAGATGGGTAAAAAGATTGATAATTTACTAAATGTATTATTTAAATTTGTCGCCAATACGTTTAAAAATGCCCAACCATTACATATGCCCATGCCTATACAGAATAGTACCATTGTAGAAAATAGACCTATTGATAGCGATTGTCAAATGGCAGGCAGCCACACTATGTATGAAGCCAATGACACGAATAATAATGAATAATCTGAATAGTAGCCCTAATAATTTGAATACAACTTCTACCACTAATAGCAACTTAGATGCATATAGCGGCAATCAGGTAGGCAGCCCCTTTAGGATTGCCTACTGGAATGCTGCAGGGGTGGGGAATAAGTTACTAGAATTAGAACTGTTTATCCAACGCCACAAAATTGATATAATGATGATAATAGAGACTCGTATTAATACTAGCGCAAATACAATTATTAGCTCGAATGTTTTGAAGATTAATGGGTACCTCACATACTTTGCTACCCATCCAGATAACTACAAAAGTGGAGGTGTAGCAATCTTAGTTAAAAATGATATTAAGCATATCGCTTTGCAGCCAATATCGGAAAATTTTATGCAGTGTGCTCCAATTGCCTTGATGAGTAGCGAGAGGAATAAAAATAGAATAATAATTGCAGCTATATACTGCCCACCACAGCCTAAATGGTCTTCAGAGCAATTTAGCAGGCTATTCAAACACATAGACGATGGATGCAATGGCTCATCTGGCTTTATGCTATGTGGGGATTGGAACGCTAAGCATACCTGGTGGGGCAATATACGAGGATGCAAACGCGGGAAGGCGCTAATGGATAGCGTACACAAGAATAGGCGCTATAATATCCTAGCTACCGGCGGTGCCACTCACTATCCATATGACAGGCGGAAAATGCCGTCGGCAATTGACTTTGCCGTATATGGCGGACTACAAAATGCGCGACTAAGAACGTATACGACGACAGACTTAGATTCGGACCACTTGCCTGTTCATATTGAAATGGGCATAGAAGGGCTAAATGTTGCTAATATGATGAAAGGAAATCGTAAAATATTGCTGCCAGTGAATGCGAACATAAAAAAGTTCCAAGAGTACTTAAATCGACGCATATTGCTAAACATTGAGATAAGATCAGGCGCCGATATAGAGGACGCTGTTGACATCCTAAATAAGAATATATATGAGGCAGCAGCAGACTCAATACGAGAACAACGGCATGGGCAGGATAAACTGTACCGACGAACGAATAGCGGACAATATAGGCTTAATGGGCACTTACGAGGACTGATAAAGATGAAGCAGGTATATAAAAGGCAATTAATGCTTTTGCGTTGTCCGAATGAAAGAAAAATGTATAGACAAGTACAAAACCGGCTAAAGAAAGAGCTATGTCTGTCAAAAGTGAATACTATGAATGAGTTATTGAAGCAGATTGATGTTCAGGATCGCTATAAAATGCAAAAATTATGGAGGCTAACAAATAATTTGAAAAGGCAGCCGCAACCAAATTGGCCGCTAAAGTTAGAGATAGCTAGTGGCAGTAGTTGTAGGAGAAACGGCAATATAACGTGGACACGAAGTAATGAGGAGAAGGCTGAAGCGTTTGCATGTCATTTGGAGAAACGCTTCACACCAAATCTGACAAATACACAGGTTGTGCGTAACCTGATTGCAGATGAGCTATTAGAGCTAAAGCGAAAAAAGCTGGAGCAATTCGAAGAGAATACAGATAGTATGTCCGTTCTGCCATTTCGTCCGATAAGTGTTAGCGAGACTATGCTAGAGATAGATATGCTAGAGTTAAATAAGTCTCCTGGCATGGACAATATTGACAATAGGGTTATTAAATCGTTGCCTGAGAAGGCGGTTATATACTTAGTACTTATATTCAATTGTATATTGAGGTATGGGTTTTTTCCTAGGCAATGGAAATGTGCAGAGATCAGTATGATATTAAAGCCTGGTAAAAGTACAGGAGAGATATCGTCATATAGACCAATTAGTCTACTAGCAGGTTTCTCAAAATTGTTTGAGAAACTGCTGCTGAATAGGCTATTCGAATGCAAAGAGTTTGCAAATGCTATACCAAGCCACCAATTTGGGTTCAGAAAAGACCATGGTACCGAGCAGCAGCTGGCCCGTGTGACTCAATATATATTGAATGCTTACGAGAAGCGACAATATTGCTCGGCTGTATTTATTGATATCAGCGAAGCGTTTGACCGTGTATGGCACGCTGGGCTATTAGTAAAATTAATAAAATTGCTACCACTTGCACTGTACAACGTGCTGGAAAGCTACTTGGCTGAGCGAATATTTATTGTAAAATGCAACGACGGCATAAAGTCAAGGCCTGGAAAAGTGTGTGCAGGCGTACCCCAGGGCAGTGTGCTCGGGCCTATACTATATACAATATTTTCTTCAGACATGCCACTACCTAGACTTGTAATGAAAGAATATGCATCGTTCGAACCCAATAAGATGCAGCTATCAACATATGCTGATGACACAATAGTTATGTGTGCATCCCAAAATATATTGGAGGCAGTGAATCTAAATGAAAAAATACTTAATACATTTGATGCGTTGGGCAGAGAAATGGTGCATAAAGATAAATAGTAGCAAAACAGCGCATGTAATGTTTAGCACGCGGAGGCTGGATGCAACACTAGTAAGGCTGTGTCCAATGATAAATGGACAAACGATCGAAAATAACGGGCGGCACCGATACTTGGGCTTAGTATTGGATAGAAAACTGACACTGAATATACACATAACTCAGCTTTGCATAAGGCTGCGTGGAGTACACAAAAAGCTGGACTGGTTGCTGGGAAAAAATAGTAGGCTAGCTAGAAATTGCAAGGCTGTGGTATATAAGCAGCTGATCGCACCTATATGGCAATATGCGCTTCCTGTATGGGGAGCACTGGTATCAAATTCGCAAATAAAAAGGATAGAAACAATGCAGAATAAAATCTTGCGGGCATGCATGAATGCCAGTTGGTATACAAGGAATCAGACGTTGAGGGATACGTATGGGATAAAAAGCGTAGATGAAGTATATCAGTTGGCTAGCGATAGATTTGCGAAGTCACTAAGCTGTCATCCGAACATTGAAGCTCGGAAACTGATACTAGAGCCATTTATACCAGTGCGGCTACTAAGGCCCAGGTACACGGAGCAATTGGATAGATGCATGGCGCCACTACGGCAGCAGCAGTTAACACCGCAGAGAGAGGTAGCTGAGGAGAGGTTGCCAACGCTGCTGCAGCTAGAAGAAGATGAGCAAGAGGCTGAAAGGAGGGCCGCTATGCTTGCCGAGTGGGAACAGAGGCGAGCTATGGGGCCACCAAAACGCTTTGATGAATGCACAATAAACATGCTTCGTCGCAAACTTAAAGCGGGCACAATAACTCGCGAAAACTTAATGCTGCTAATCGACAACCAGCCACCACAGATACAATGGCTAATTCTACCTGAGCTGCAGCACGAACACCTGCAGCGGCAGCATCAGGAACTAATACGGACGGCAGAGCCGGCCCCAGGGGCCATAATACAATCGGCTATAGATACCGATGAATTGCAACTAGAGCGCAGCCTTGATATGTTGGAGCAGGCACTGGGACAGGAGATGGATGAAGCGCTTATTATTGCAGGAAATAATATTCAAATTGAAATGCAGCAGCGGCTCGCAGACAATGAGTCAGTGCAGCTGAATACAAATGAGCTGCAAATGCAGCATGGCCAACGGCTATGCGGCAGCAGCACTAACAACACAAATGCTACTAATACTAACAATGTAAACAATGATAATGATAGTGATTTTGATAATGATGAATTTGAATTGTTCTTGTCAACTTACCTGCAGAAGAAGGCTGAATTGAATCCCTCGTTGGTACACTCAGTACAGCCTGGCCCGCTCTCCATGCGGCGGCAAAATAACTTATATCCCTCGCTGGTCTATATAGTACAGCCTGGCCCGCTCTCCCTGCGGCGGCAAAACGATCTACATCCCTCGTTGCAGCCTGAGACTGAGCCCGGCCCGCTTTCTCCGCGGTGGCATAACTATGTCCATCCAACGATGCAGCAGCAACTGCAGCCTGATTCGCTTCCTGAGCGGCGGCAAAACAATACAAATTCCGAGCAGTTGCCACTGGATTTGCCTGGGCTCATTGTGGAGCGCCTGGTTGACAGATGTCCAACGACGCAGCAGCTGATGGAGCCTGGCCCCCCTGAGAAGCTGGAAATGCAGCTGGTGCCTGTGCGGGGGCAGCCTGGGCCATCACGGCCGCCATCGATGACCGAGCATGATTTGCAGCAACGACAATCGACGCCTGTAAAGCGAAAGGTTGAGAATTTAATGCTGCCTGCAAAACGTAGATGCACTTACCAAATGGCGTCAATTCGGAGGCGACTGCAAGGGCCGCTCCAAGATGAGCTGCTGCCTGACAAGCGGCAGTGGCAGCAGCAGCGTATCGGCCAGGAGGCACTGGCTGTGGCTGGGCCATATCCGATGTTTTTCACAGCAGCCATACCTGAAAAACGAAAAAGGCAATTTAGACGGACTCCGCAATGTAGGAAAAAAGCACGTACCTGCCTCCCAGCACACGCGGAACTCGTGCGGGCGCCCCTGCAGACGGAGCTGCAATGGTCAATGGCCATGCTCCGGCCTCGAAGAAGTCCAAACTGGCCGACTGAGCGTGGCCCATATGGAATCCAAAATGCACACCATGTGCACGACACTTTTATATGCAGCGACTCCTGTCTGCATAGTGGTGTCCATAAGAAGCGGCAGCACAATCCAATAAGCCAGCGGAGGCGTCGTCGGATGCGGTCAAATGCCCATGCGAGGCTTATTGCGCATCAGCAAATGAATGCGTCGGCGCCTGTGTGGCGGCCTGTACATGGCTGGCGGCGCCTGGCGCATAGAAAAGCGCGACCTCTGAGCGCAATTATCAAATCTGATAGCAATTTCGACATAAATCTGTAAAAAGAAATATTTATAATTAGTTATATGTTAAGAAATTAATTTTTGCAAAAATGCGACTTACCTCTGTTAAAAAGTTTTCGATTTCCACGTTGCGACGGGAAAAAAAAAAAAAAATGTATATGCAGAGCACATGTAGTCAAATCTAACTGTATATTGCGTAGCGTTGCCACCTATGCAGTGTTGCCACACTGACAGTTTTAAGTTGTTAAAGCAATTTAGTATTATTAGGGAATTAGTACTTTTAGTCTTTTAGTATTTTAGTATAAGTATTTATTGTATTTAGTACGTAAGTTCAATACAGACACATTCTATGTGTCTAACAACATGTTTATAGAGTTAGGATACAATGTTGCCAAATAATGTTCTTATATGTTGCTAAAGTGAAAGTAATGGAAAAGAATAAAACAAGTCACGGAGGAATTTCATTCCACTGCTGACATATATTGTGCTCGGATGCACTCAACTTAAAACAATAAACATGCTTCGTCGCAAACTTAAAGCGGGCACAATAACTCGCGAAAACTTAATGCTGCTAATCGACAACCAGCCACCACAGATACAATGGCTAATTCTACCTGAGCTGCAGCACGAACACCTGCAGCGGCAGCATCAGGAACTAATACGGACGGCAGAGCCGGCCCCAGGGGCCATAATACAATCGGCTATAGATACCGATGAATTGCAACTAGAGCGCAGCCTTGATATGTTGGAGCAGGCACTGGGACAGGAGATGGATGAAGCGCTCATTATTGCAGGAAATAATATTCAAATTGAAATGCAGCAGCGGCTCGCAGACAATGAGTCAGTGCAGCTGAATACAAATGAGCTGCAAATGCAGCATGGCCAACGGCTATGCGGCAGCAGCACTAACAACACAAATGCTACTAATACTAACAATGTAAACAATGATAATGATAGTGATTTTGATAATGATGAATTTGAATTGTTCTTGTCAACTTACCTGCAGAAGAAGGCTGAATTGAATCCCTCGTTGGTACACTCAGTACAGCCTGGCCCGCTCTCCATGCGGCGGCAAAATAACTTATATCCCTCGCTGGTCTATATAGTACAGCCTGGCCCGCTCTCCCTGCGGCGGCAAAACGATCTACATCCCTCGTTGCAGCCTGAGACTGAGCCCGGCCCGCTTTCTCCGCGGTGGCATAACTATGTCCATCCAACGATGCAGCAGCAACTGCAGCCTGATTCGCTTCCTGAGCGGCGGCAAAACAATACAAATTCCGAGCAGTTGCCACTGGATTTGCCTGGGCTCATTGTGGAGCGCCTGGTTGACAGATGTCCAACGACGCAGCAGCTGATGGAGCCTGGCCCCCCTGAGAAGCTGGAAATGCAGCTGGTGCCTGTGCGGGGGCAGCCTGGGTCATCACGGCCGCCATCGATGACCGAGCATGATTTGCAGCAACGACAATCGACGCCTGTAAAGCGAAAGGTTGAGAATTTAATGCTGCCTGCAAAACGTAGATGCACTTACCAAATGGCGTCAATTCGGAGGCGACTGCAAGGGCCGCTCCAAGATGAGCTGCTGCCTGACAAGCGGCAGTGGCAGCAGCAGCGTATCGGCCAGGAGGCACTGGCTGTGGCTGGGCCATATCCGATGTTTTTCACAGCAGCCATACCTGAAAAACGAAAAAGGCAATTTAGACGGACTCCGCAATGTAGGAAAAAAGCACGTACCTGCCTCCCAGCACACGCGGAACTCGTGCGGGCGCCCCTGCAGACGGAGCTGCAATGGTCAATGGCCATGCTCCGGCCTCGAAGAAGTCCAAACTGGCCGACTGAGCGTGGCCCATATGGAATCCAAAATGCACACCATGTGCACGACACTTTTATATGCAGCGACTCCTGTCTGCATAGTGGTGTCCATAAGAAGCGGCAGCACAATCCAATAAGCCAGCGGAGGCGTCGTCGGATGCGGTCAAATGCCCATGCGAGGCTTATTGCGCATCAGCAAATGAATGCGTCGGCGCCTGTGTGGCGGCCTGTACATGGCTGGCGGCGCCTGGCGCATAGAAAAGCGCGACCTCTGAGCGCAATTATCAAATCTGATAGCAATTTCGACATAAATCTGTAAAAAGAAATATTTATAATTAGTTATATGTTAAGAAATTAATTTTTGCAAAAATGCGACTTACCTCTGTTAAAAAGTTTTCGATTTCCACGTTGCGACGGGAAAAAAAAAAAAATGTATATGCAGAGCACATGTAGTCAAATCTAACTGTATATTGCGTAGCGTTGCCACCTATGCAGTGTTGCCACACTGACAGTTTTAAGTTGTTAAAGCAATTTAGTATTATTAGGGAATTAGTACTTTTAGTCTTTTAGTATTTTAGTATAAGTATTTATTGTATTTAGTACGTAAGTTCAATACAGACACATTCTATGTGTCTAACAACATGTTTATAGAGTTAGGATACAATGTTGCCAAATAATGTTCTTATATGTTGCTAAAGTGAAAGTAATGGAAAAGAATAAAACAAGTCACGGAGGAATTTCATTCCACTGCTGACATATATTGTGCTCGGATGCACTCAACTAAAAAGCGGGCACAATAACTCGCGAAAACTTAATGCTGCTAATCGACAACCAGCCACCACAGATACAATGGCTAATTCTACCTGAGCTGCAGCACGAACACCTGCAGCGGCAGCATCAGGAACTAATACGGACGGCAGAGCCGGCCCCAGGGGCCATAATACAATCGGCTATAGATACCGATGAATTGCAACTAGAGCGCAGCCTTGATATGTTGGAGCAGGCACTGGGACAGGAGATGGATGAAGCGCTCATTATTGCAGGAAATAATATTCAAATTGAAATGCAGCAGCGGCTCGCAGACAATGAGTCAGTGCAGCTGAATACAAATGAGCTGCAAATGCAGCATGGCCAACGGCTATGCGGCAGCAGCACTAACAATACAAATGCTACTAATACTAACAATGTAAACAATGATAATGATAGTGATTTTGATAATGATGAATTTGAATTGTTCTTGTCAACTTACCTGCAGAAGAAGGCTGAATTGAATCCCTCGTTGGTACACTCAGTACAGCCTGGCCCGCTCTCCATGCGGCGGCAAAATAACTTATATCCCTCGCTGGTCTATATAGTACAGCCTGGCCCGCTCTCCCTGCGGCGGCAAAACGATCTACATCCCTCGTTGCAGCCTGAGACTGAGCCCGGCCCGCTTTCTCCGCGGTGGCATAACTATGTCCATCCAACGATGCAGCAGCAACTGCAGCCTGATTCGCTTCCTGAGCGGCGGCAAAACAATACAAATTCCGTGCAGTTGCCACTGGATTTGCCTGGGCTCATTGTGGAGCGCCTGGTTGACAGATGTCCAACGACGCAGCAGCTGATGGAGCCTGGCCCCCCTGAGAAGCTGGAAATGCAGCTGGTGCCTGTGCGGGGGCAGCCTGGGCCATCACGGCCGCCATCGATGACCGAGCATGATTTGCAGCAACGACAATCGACGCCTGTAAAGCGAAAGGTTGAGAATTTAATGCTGCCTGCAAAACGTAGATGCACTTACCAAATGGCGTCAATTCGGAGGCGACTGCAAGGGCCGCTCCAAGATGAGCTGCTGCCTGACAAGCGGCAGTGGCAGCAGCAGCGTATCGGCCAGGAGGCACTGGCTGTGGCTGGGCCATATCCGATGTTTTTCACAGCAGCCATACCTGAAAAACGAAAAAGGCAATTTAGACGGACTCCGCAATGTAGGAAAAAAGCACGTACCTGCCTCCCAGCACACGCGGAACTCGTGCGGGCGCCCCTGCAGACGGAGCTGCAATGGTCAATGGCCATGCTCCGGCCTCGAAGAAGTCCAAACTGGCCGACTGAGCGTGGCCCATATGGAATCCAAAATGCACACCATGTGCACGACACTTTTATATGCAGCGACTCCTGTCTGCATAGTGGTGTCCATAAGAAGTGGCAGCACAATCCAATAAGCCAGCGGAGGCGTCGTCGGATGCGGTCAAATGCCCATGCGAGGCTTATTGCGCATCAGCAAATGAATGCGTCGGCGCCTGTGTGGCGGCCTGTACATGGCTGGCGGCGCCTGGCGCATAGAAAAGCGCGACCTCTGAGCGCAATTATCAAATCTGATAGCAATTTCGACATAAATCTGTAAAAAGAAATATTTATAATTAGTTATATGTTAAGAAATTAATTTTTGCAAAAATGCGACTTACCTCTGTTAAAAAATTTTCGATTTCCACGTTGCGACGGGAAAAAAAAAAAAATGTATATGCAGAGCACATGTAGTCAAATCTAACTGTATATTGCGTAGCGTTGCCACCTATGCAGTGTTGCCACACTGACAGTTTTAAGTTGTTAAAGCAATTTAGTATTATTAGGGAATTAGTACTTTTAGTCTTTTAGTATTTTAGTATAAGTATTTATTGTATTTAGTACGTAAGTTCAATACAGACACATTCTATGTGTCTAACAACATGTTTATAGAGTTAGGATACAATGTTGCCAAATAATGTTCTTATATGTTGCTAAAGTGAAAGTAATGGAAAAGAATAAAACAAGTCACGGAGGAATTTCATTCCACTGCTGACATATATTGTGCTCGGATGCACTCAACTTAAAAAGCTCGGATGCACTCAACTTAAAAAAACTTAAAAAACTTAAATAAATAAAAAAAAACCGAAAGGCTTGATTGCGCTCGGACGCACTCATCTATTTAAAACAAAAAAAAAAATAAATAAAATAAAATAAAATAAATAAATAAAAAGTCAATTAAACCAAAACCAAACCAAAAAGAAATTAAAATCAAATAAAGACATTGCGCTCGTACAGTGCAAGTGCAATTTATGTGGCACACAAACACACATACTCGGCATATAAAATATATATTGTGCGCATATAAAATGGAAATGCGCTATCGAATCAACTAGTAAATATGGAACACAATGCAAATAAAAGTGGAAAGCCCTCTGAGGAGTGGCTAAATAGAGATCCTGGGATTGTGCAGGTGCAATCTGAGGATATAAATCGTGTGCATAATGAGGCCAAACGTCTTGGTTATGTGCCGGCAAATATGGCAGCCGCTGGCGTCACTAATACAAGTGCAGGTGAAAATGTGAAGCGCACAACAGAGAGAAGTGAAATACAGGGTGATATTTCTGATGAGACTATCTTAACTTGCGAAAGTGCTACCTCAGCATTCTCTGAGACGGCGCTTTCTCATATGTTCTGTGATAGCGATGAGGACACTAACTGGACAAATGCTATAGTTGGAATTGAGAGAAGAGCGGTGGGAGCAGCAACAACAACTACAGGATCTACTTGCCAGCAAGTGCAACAACAGCAACAGACGCCAATTCTCGCGGCAGAAGTGCCGCTAAATGATCCGCCATTTCTGCCTGAGTCAACAGGGGCAGCAACTACAACAAGTACAAGAACAACCACTAGCGCAAATGTCATAGCTAACCTAGAAGGCAATGTTCCGCCATCTTTGCAAATGTCAACGCCTACGCTGACAATAGCAACCAATACCAACACAGGTGACGCGCAAAAATTGGCGCCAACGCTAAGTGAATGTGCAACAGGAACAACAAGTGGTCGCTTGCGTGATGCTGCTAAGGTGACAATGGCGGCAAAAATAAATGGCGCTAAGCGTAGAGTGACTATGCCAATGAAGCAGCAGCGTAAAGTAATGGCCCTAATAATTTGCAAAATGCAATGCAATCTAACTTGCAGCCTATTGTTAGATTATACAATATTGCAAGACCAAAAAATAATTTAGCCAAAAATGCCATGCCCGGTGGGGAGGAAGGCAACATGAACATGGACATTGATGCCAACACCAGTAGTGATGGATATTCGGAGGTAATTATTTCGGATGATGAAGCAACAGAGCAGCAAATAGGCGGCAAGCAGGTAGCTAGTGAAGTTCAGGAAGCGCAACCGCAGTTAGGTCAAAGTATTAAAATTCCAACACTTTTTGTGCCCAATGTAAAAGAAATTCAGCCACTAATGGAGAAATTAAATAACGCACAGGGCGTCAATAAATTTACAACAAAATGTACCCAGGGTGATGGGATTAGAGTACAATGTAAAGATTTCAGCACATATAACGCCATATTGGGCTTATTAAATACAGAAAATATACCTATGCACACACACCAGCCGAGAAGTGAGCGTGGCTACAGGGTTATATTAAAACATTTGCACAGTTCGACTCCATGCGACTGGTTGCGTACCCAATTGGGAGAATTGGGTTATGTTGTCAGATACGTTAACGTCATGAAGCATCGATTTAGTGGCAAGCCATTGAACATATTTGAAATAGAGATTGAGCCAAGAGTGGATGGTAGTCATACAAAAATATGTAAATTAAACGAATTAGGTAATCAGCATGTCGCTGTGGAAAGACAACATAAAAGTGCTGACCCAGTACAGTGTCATAGGTGTCAGGCATTTGGTCACAGCAAAAACTATTGCCGTCGGCCATTTGTCTGCCTTAAATGTGCCGGTGAGCACCCAACAACAATGTGTGCCAAGGATAGGGACACAATTGCTAAATGCGCCAACTGTGGAGAGGGGCACATTGCCAGTTACAAAGGATGCGCTGTATTCAAACATGCGCAAAGTTTAATAAACATAAATCGTATTCGTGGCCGGCAACAAAAAAAGCAGCAACAGCAGCAGCAACGAAATACAGTCAATATGCTCGTACAGCAGCAGCAGCAACAGCAACAACAACAACGGCAACAAGTAGTAAATCAGCAACAACAGCAATGCAACGATGATAACACACAGCGACAACGAAACGTACAACAGCAACGGCTGCCGAACAATATGCAAGTCAACGGTACGGTGCAACAAAAGCCTCCAAAGCAGCAGCAACGTCAGCCGGAGTCTCCAATACGGCAGCAGGCGTCTCAGCAGAGATCAAACCCGAATACAAATCCAAACACAAAAAGTATGACATACAGCCAAGTAGCCCGTGGTGTTGGTGGTGTTAAAATCCGTAATCCTGCATCAAGGCATCTTGAAAAGCTACAGGAGCAGCTTCGTATGGAGCAGCAGCAAAAACGGCAGCAACAACAACATCCGTGGCAGCAACAGGAACACTATCGCCA